CTTTTGTAGTGTCCTTGCTCGTTACATTCATAGCAGATGATGTCTTTGTTGTTTGGCTTTTTGTTTCCTGAAGAACCTTCAGATCTTTTGTGTCTAGAGGAGGATTCTGACCTTTTGTATCTGGAGAAAGATTCATTCTGATTCTCTGATTTTCTGGGATTCCTGAACTTCCTTTGCCTCTACTTCCATAATTGGTTCACCCTTCTGGAGAGGAGAGATAGTTCATCTTCTTCTGATGAGGACCCATCAGAGGTTTCTTCAACAGCCTGCAAAACTTTGGATTCAGATTTTCTGTTAGATTTTAAAGCTAATGACTTACCTTGCTTTTGAGGTTCATCTGCTTCTAGCTCTATCTCGTGACTTCTGAGGGAGCTGACAAGTTCCTCCAGAGAGATTTTGTTGAGATCCTTGGCTAGCTTAAGCGCTGTGACCATTGGCCTCCACTGTTTTGGCAAGCTTCTGATGATCTTCTTAACATGATCAGCAGTGGAATACCCTTTGTCAAGAACTGTGAGACCAGCAACCAGAATTTGAAATCTTGAAAACATAGTCTCTATTGATTCACTTTCTTCCATCTTGAATGCCTCATACTTCTGAATGAGCGCAAGAGCTTTGGTTTCTTTGACTTGAATGTTGCCTTCATGCGTCATTCTCAGAGAGTCAAACATATTCTTTGCAGTGTCTCTGTTTGATATCTTTTCATATTCAGAATAAGAGATGGCACTGAGAAGAATTGTTCTGGCCTTGTGATGATTTCTGAAATCACGCTTTTGCTGATCAGACATTGCTTTCCTGTCAATCTTCTGACCACTTCCATCCACTGGGTGCGTGTATCCATCAGTCACCATGTCCCACAGATCAGCATCATAGGCCAGAAAGAAGCTTTCAATTCTGTCTTTCCAGTAGTCAAAGTTCTCTCTATCAAAGACTGAAGGTTTGCCACTGAATCTGTCTCTTTCTTCATTGTAGTCATTGTTGATGTTTTGATGTGGTCCTGCCATTGTGTTTTTCTGACGCTGGATCTTGTACTGACACGGTTAAGTGTTATAAACTCAGAACCAGGCGCTCTGATGCCAATTGAAGATGTGAAAAACACAAGAAGGGGGGTTGAATTGTAAATCTTAAATCAAAGATGCAGACAACACGATATTTTATCCTGGTTCGTTTGATCTCAAACTACTCCAGTCCACCCGTCAAGGTGATTTTGCCTCTCTCCAACGAGGTCTTAATCCACTATATTCAACTGAATACAACAACTACTTTAACAACTGTTAAAGCCTTCTTGAGTCTAACCACAAACCGGTTTATCTCAAGGAAATTCTCTTACAGATAAATGAACAAAAGTGTGTTTGATGTTTTCTAATAAAACCATATATCACAACTGTGATAATACACAATATTAAGCTTAGAATGAAACTATACTGCTAATGCTATTGAGTAGGCGTGGTTGAAAGCTTTAGCAAATTGTATGAATGAGTTCGTTTACGTAGGCGTGTATGCGTGAAGATTATTAGCCTTTTCTTTTCTCACACAGTCTTGTTTAAATAGCCACGGAAGAGATACGTTGGTTGTCCATAAATCCATTTCAATGCTAATAACGTTCTTTCCTTTTTGAGAAGATCTTTGTCTTGGAATAAAGCCGTTGGTAATAAATCTGTCTTGAATGCTTAGTAACGTTGACACTTCAGAGTCTTCTCTGCTTATGATAATCAGAGTGTTCTTTCCTTTATGCTGACGCTTCTGAGTGCTGATGACTTGGTTAGGATCTTAATCAGAGTCAGAGTATTTTATGCGCAGATTATGTTCATCAGTCTTCAGCGTATAGCACATGTTTATTTGATCTTCTGATGCTGACATATCTTCTGATGCTGATGTTGATACTGATATTCTGATGCTGATACTGATATTCTGATGTTGATTCCATCAGAGTTTCTGTAATCAGAGTTTCTGTAAATACACAACATAATTTTAAGTAGCATATATGTCTTATATAAATCTTACAATTTATTTAATCTTGTATTTTGTTATCATCAAAACTCTAACTGAGGATTGTAGAATCAAACTATGTTCTAACAGAACATGCTTAGGATTGATTGTGACATCCTAAATGTGTGGATTGTTTTAATTTACTCTAATTTTATTTAAATTATTCGGGAAAATTTATGGTGTTACATCCACTTTCCTACCTTTCAAGTAGTGCATATGCACCCACTTAACCCACAAATTATCAGTCTTCATGCACAAGTTCTAGAGGCATTTCAACATGGTGATCTTGTTCCACACACCTAAATTAAATATATTCAGGTCTCCTTGCCTTTTAGGACTACAAACAGTTTTCCTAGCCACATGGCTTTTTCTGCTAACTTCATGTCTTCCAGTCTAAACAAAAGTTCTGCACATAAATTCAATCTTCTTAATCACAAATTGGGGAATATGCATGAGTCGCATCCAATACTGAGTGATTGCATAGATAATGCTCTTCACCAGCTGAATTCTATCAGCAAAATTCAACAATTTCGAGGTCCAATTCCTGATCCTAGCCATAATCATGTCAATAAGAGGGAGGTAGTGGTTAATATTAAGATTTTTTACTATTGAGAGGCACCCCCAAGATATCTCACAGGCAACTGACCCTCCTCATAGGATGTTATCTCTTGCATCTTCAATTTTGTATCCATATCAACACCACCATAGTAAATTTTACATTTACTCGGGTTCACAATCAGCCCCGTAGTCTTAGAAAATGTATTGACAGTTTTTAACATCATCTCCACATAAATAATATCTCCTCTACAGAAAAGCAACACATCATCCGCAAAAGTGAGGTTAGTTATGCCCAACAGCTCACACTTTGCATGATGGTTGAAATTAGGGTCCAATTGTATTTTAACAAGCAGTCTGTTCAAATATTCCATCATCACAACAAAGAGAAAAGAGGATAATGGATCCCCTTGCCTGATGTCACGCCTAGCCTACGTAGAATAAAATAGCTCACCATTTATATTAAAAGTATAAGTGACAGAAGTTACCACAGTCATAATCCATTAAATGAACATACAAGGTATCCCAATCTCCTTTAACGCATTCTCCATATGGCATGCCAATCCACCATATCATATGCTTTCTGAAGATCAAGATGCATCATACAACAGAGGATGTCTCCTTTTCTATAATAACCTTTAAGGAGCTCATAAGAAAGTATAATATGGTTATGAATAACCTTACTTGGAACAAAGGATGTCTGGCACAAACTGATGATACAAGGAAGGACCTTACCCAATATGGCTGTCAAAATTTGAGATAAATAATGCAACCTGCTATAAGCCTGTAATTTTTAGCATGCTTTGCATCATCTCTCTTGGAAACCAAGGTAACTACAGTCTGATTGAAAGCTCTAGAGAGTCTACCATGCTCAAAGAATTCCATAATATCATTAACAACATCATCCTTGATGATATGCCAACAAAATTTAAAAAATTTGGAGCCATGCCCATCTGCACCATGAGATTTCAAGTCACCTATTTCATGGAGGGCACTTTCAATCTCATTTACAATAACATGACTCATAAGATACTCCCTTTGGTTCATGCTAACTTGATTACCTTTTCTAAGGGCTTCAATATCTATATGGGTTAAACTATTACTAGCTTTCCCCATGAGACTACCATAAAACTCCATAACCTCTTGTGCAATGTCTTTTTGAGAGGTAAGGATAGTGCCATCCATTTTCTGCATCACCCTCGTGCTCTTAGAATTGTGCTTAGTCTTCAAGTAAGCATGGAAAAAAAACATTATTCCCATCCCATCTTAAACCAGCCAATTTTAGTTTTTTGCATCATCATCTTTTCCTCAACCTCATTCCACTTTATTACCTCTTCTGTCAATTTCTTAGCCTCCTCAGTCTTATGAGTATCCATCCTATGATTCATCAAGTCCTGATAAGCCTGATTAAGATTTTGTCTAGCCACCATTTTCTTCTGGTGGACATCAGAAGTCACCTTATTCAGCTTAAGCAGCTCAGGTTTCAGGGAAGGACCTTATTCGCCATATCATTAATAAATTAATAAAAAATTCATCCATTTATGTTTCATACAAATCAAGAAGAAGAAAAACTCAGAACCCAATCTTCATAGCTTATTTCTAATCTTCATATAAACCTTGAAAAAATTCATAAATCCTAAGAAAAAATTCCATTGCATATGATCCAAAATCATAATCTAATGTGATACCAAAAAAAAAACTTAGAAACAATTTTTAATGGTATATTTAAACCCAAAAATAACAAATTCAAATCAAATAACAAACCAAACCCAAAAACAAAATTCTAACCAAGAAACAAAATCAAACCCAAAAAATTTAAATAAAATGACATTTTTCTCAATTACATAAAAATATTCTCATCTCCTCAAAGCTAAAAAAAAAAAAAAAAGACTATGTATTAAAATCCAGAAAAGAGAATCAATTTCCATTTTCATCTAATCCATCTCATAAAATCAGAAATTTTCAACAATTTTTATTTTCATCAAATCAGAAAAATGGGAATGTATTCTCATCCCCTGAACACAAGTGTTCCTCATATTCAACAAATAGAAAAACCAGTCACAAACACTATCACAAGAACAAACACAACACCAATAGTTGTATTCTGCAGCACAAGTATTGAATCAGCAGTAGGAATAGAAAGGAGAATGGGGTTTCTGCTGTCACATGTTATTACAAACAACACGCGTTAATCGATGGGTGAAGTCTTGCTCAAATCAAGTGATGTATCGACCAGAGTATACAAAACAACTCGTGTATATTGGAATAAAATCATTTTATTTTCCAACAAAATCATGAGCCAGGAGAAGAGAAAACACACTGTGATGTGTGATATAGGGCTTTGCCTATAAAATGACATGCAGTAGTGCATTTTCATTGACACCAAACAGTCCTTAATTATAAACAGTACTAAGATATGGTGAATTAGAACTAAGTACAAAACATGCCTCAAGAGCTTTTCACTCATATCGGGGAATCTCACCCCCCATTACCCTCCACGGACCGCCATAAAACTTTGGTTTCATGAGAGGAACTGCTTTCCCAGGGTTCTCTTCCCAGTACTTTTCCTGTGATAAAGCAAGATTCATTATAAAGATCAGAATTTCACAACATGATTTTGCTAAAAAAATTATCAGCAATTGATGGTTACACCATTTTACTTTCAAACATCACTCTCTTTGTCACAGGGTGATAAATAAAGAGCAAGGTAAACAAAAAAGGCTCAAAACCAAAAAGTGAAAATGTTTCCCCTTTGAATGAGTTTTTAGCCTTTCAATTTCTATACTAGTAGACTACAATGAAGCACCGACACCTCTAGAAGTAGGCGTGTCGCGGTGTCTGACACCCGTACGACATGTGTTGGAAAAGTCAAACATACGTCTGAAAAGTCAGACAAGTGTCCCCAAAAATTGGTCATTTTTCTTGCCTTGACACATTTTGAATCAGTGTCTGATACTCATTTGACACTCATACAACACGTGTCCGATAATTCAGACAAGTTTTCTTTTAAAAAATTGTGTTTTTCTTTTCCTCAACACACTTTATACATTTTCTAGATAAATCTCACAGCACGATTAGAAGGGTTAATCATGAATTGAAGCAATGTTATCAATGAAGAATTAAAGACATTAATTTTGATTAGAATATTTTAAACTTCTTTGATGTTGATGAATAAATGAAACTCGAATACTATAACATATATAGCGGTGTCGATGTCATAGGTTTTTGGCATATCTGTGTCGAAGTGTCTGTGTCGTGGTGTCTGTGTCAGAGTCTATGCTTCATAGGTAGACTATCCATAAACATTACAATAGAGAACTACCAATGAAAAGGTGTGCAGTAACTTTTATCATTAACCAACAATAATTAACTTGAGGCAAGAACACGAGCCCTTTACACTCAAACCTACTTTCAAATAGAGTATGAGCATATAAGAACACAAACTGACTGAATTATTTTCTCTCCGTCTCTATTTTGCTTGGTTGCTTGTTTATAATGATGAAGCATACGGAAGCAGATAACAGAGTTAAACAAGCATTATAAACAAACTGAACAGTGAAACTAAAAAGTAACTTGTCTCTTATAAATAGGACCGGAAGGAGTATTTGAATTTCAATTCAATGGCATGTATCTTTTGTGCTTTCCACATTCCTCATCTTCTATAAACAAAGCATTTAGAAAGACACTCTTTCTCTTTCTATAAACAATGCTCATCTTTCTTCTCTTCCTCTAATCTCTGATCTCACTTCTTTTCCATTTGCAAAATCTTCTTCTTACACTGGATTTTACTATTGTGCACTGCTTCACTTCCTTCCTTCCACAACCTCTTGTTGTATTGTACTGGAACCATGCTCTCCTCTTCCTCTGCATGCTCTCTCACTGTAATCTTCTTCTTCTCTCTCATCTTCTCGGCTTTCGTGTCTGTTTACTTTCTATGTATATGTCTTTGTTTTGTCAAGCATGACAAGGGAACAACATAGGATTCGTCTTTCTTTCTGTTTTTTTTCTTTCTAAATGCTTTCTTTCTATGTCTTACTTGTTTACTATTTTGTTTATGCAGGTTAGGATGAATATTTGATTTCTGAATCACCAGAATCTATTGGTCAAGCAGACCAACTCAAATTCTCTGCAATACAAACATCATTACATATATACCTCACTTGAAAACCTATGCAATAACAACCACTAACAAGGTTTTCTTTCATACCTTTCTGACTTTTTGCCTTCTTTTTTCATGAGTTATGTTTATAATGACGCAGTTAGTGAAATTTCTGAAGCTGTCTTTTCTCTAGGTCTCTGCTGCTCAACTTTCTGGAAAATTAGTAAAACAAATTGTTACTAACACCAGGGTTAATTGTGTTATTTTTCACCGTGGATTGTGTTATCAACTGAATTTTTGTATCTTTTGAAATGGGTTGTGTGTTATCAAGTATTGATGAGGATGGATGAGTTGGTATATACAAGGAAAGGAAGAAGGTAATCAAACAGCTTGTGTGTAATAGAGAGGAATTTTCTGATTCCCTGCTAGCTTATTTGAAAGCATTGAGGAACACCGACCCTACCCTCAGGCATTTCACCGAGTCCGATACATTAGAATTGGACTTTGCATCTACTGGCCTGCCCGACCCCCCACCTTCCCTGCCGCCTAACTTGCTACTGCCGCCACCACTGCCTCCTTTTCTTGCTGACAAGAGCATGCTGCACATTGGCCAAGATGATATACTAGAGAATGATGACTTGGATCCAATTATGAACTCGCTGTTGCTATTTCAACATACGGATAAAATAGAAGTGGTAGAGTAGAGTCATTGGAGGAGGAGAATTGGGATGAAACTAAAACAGAATTCGAAGACGAAGTCCAAGACTCGGAAGGTGATGTGAGAGTTGAAAATTACGCAATGGAAAGCAACAGGTTAGAGAACCAGTTGACGATAATCCATCAGCCATTTGCTTGTTTAAAAAAGAAACTCACACTAAGAAAGCTACGCCCAAGGGGGTCGGACGAAGTTGGAATACCTTGGAGGGTATAGTTAAAGAGTTAGATGATCATTTCCCAAAAGCATCAGCATGCATAAAGGAAATTGATGTTCTCATTGATATCAGCGGCGGAGATACACTTCTGTGGCAGAATTCTAAGCGTCATCTTAGTAAGGCTACATTCATAGTGTTCTTATGGATTGTTGAAGTTCTGTTATTCTACATATTCTCTATGTGTTTCATGTCTTGTGAAAAACTTATAGGTGATTATTGTAGACAATTTTTTTATATTACTGTGGCACGTTCTTTGTAGGCAAGAGAACCAATTCTGCCAGGGTGTTTAGTGTACTGTCATGGAGTACGTATACTAAGTCGCACACTTTCACCAAAGATGATGCCGACTTTTCTAGTCCTAGTGACCCATGCAGGCCTGGAGCTCATTTGTGCCACGCTTCGCAGAGAAGAAACTTTACAAAGCAGTAAAGGTAAGTCAGCAATAAAACCAACAGGCAGTTTTGGTGCCGATTTTTATCCGTGTTTAGTGAAAATTTGATGCAAAAAGTCATATATTTAATTTTCCTGCATCATATATTATAAAATTTCAACCATGGTGTGCCCCAAATATTCTGGCTCTGCAACAGAGACAATCTGAAAATTTTCAACCATGTTATTAACTATTTTTAAGACTATATACTATTTGAATTTTAGTGCACTGGGCAAAATTCTTTCGAAGGGTGAAAGAAATTATTATATCCCTCAGCTTCTCACAGTATTCTCTTCATCTTAGCTTTACGTTTTCTGACAAATCATCTAAAACAACAAAGACATTTCTATCTCTATCATTTTATTGAAGAAATTCCATCACCGTCATGTTTTAGTTATTGACACTGCACCACTTTGGTTTTCTAAAATGTACTAATGGACCCATTCATAACATTTCTTCACTACTTCATACTATACTTTGAAGTTTAGGCATAACGATTCAATTATACACGAATTTCGATCCTAAATAGAAAACCAACCAAGTGTACCATACCCGTTAAAGTTTTGTTTTGTATCACATTTATGTACAGCTATCATGCACCAGATCATAATCCATGCAACACTGGCTAAAGGTAAGGCAAGAATTGGAATATTAATTTTTGTCATAAAAATTGATATCTATAATATTCACATTCAATATTATATATTCCTTAACTAAAGAAATAACATTTTGTAATGTTAATTATCAGGTGCTAGCTTTCTGACAAACATCTAGAAGCACCTACTTATTCATAGTTAATGTATTATTTCATATTGACTCATATCAACTAGCACAAGAAAGACCATTTCATCCCATTCTGTTACATGTAGAAGAGATGGATCGTATCTCCAAAAACAGCTAAACATAACTAAGATAAATGTCTTGAAAGTTAGTCTAACACTACAAAGTATAGGAGGTTAGTCTCAAATCTCAACACCTAAACATAAACTCAATGAAACAGTATATAACCGAAACCTTCTATTTTTCTATTTGGAATTTACATTCTACATTGCTATTGCAAGTTTACATACACCTGTCAAAATCCAAAACTTAAAGTGTCGTATGCGCAAACATGTTAGTCCCGTGTTTCCTCAAAAGGATGAATTTGAAACTTTACCATCTAACTCTAGTACACTGGTTGGTCCAAAAGAATGCCAACCAACCATCATTACCCCCATTAGGCTGCATTATATCCCAGAACCAACCAACACACAAAGCACGAAATTAAAAATTGAAATAATAGAAAATAAATCATACTCAACAATATGAAGCACGTCCACTGCAAACACAACACCGATACTAACACGTCGATACCGCTAATAATTTGAAAAAAAATGAATAAAATAAACATAATAATAAGTGTCGGAGTTCGTTTCTGACACTAGAAACATGACACTGACACGTCGACACAACAAACACACAAAGCACGAAACTAAAAATTGAAATAATAGAAAATAAATCATACTCAACAATATGAATCACGTACACGGCAAACACAACACCGATACTAACACGTCATACCGCTAATAATTAAAAAAAAAAGAATAAAATAAGGAGAAAAAAAAGGACCTTGTAGAGTTGTTCGGTGATGGCGGCACCAATGACTCCGGTATAGAAAGCGGCTGTGTAAGTAACAACAACAGGAGTGAAAGATTTAGGTCTTCTGTAAGGTTCAACCATGTCCCATAGAAAGGTTTTCTCCCATTTTGTGAACAGATAATCTGCATATTTTCTCCATACATAGCTCGCCATTGAAACTTTGAATTCAGAATCGAATGAAGAGACTGACAACCAAAAAAGAGATCGGAAAGAGAGCCGTGCCGTGTGTTCTTTACGGCCACTCTTCTCCGGTTAATTTTATCTGGTGTAAAATGAAAAATTAGTTTGTTTTGTTAAAGAGCATTTGGTTTATTTTGTAGAATTACTTTTTATACGGCATTTTGTAAAATCATTTGGTAATTAGTTCAACTCATTATAGTATTAATTAGGTTTTGGAAATATAAACTTCTCTTTTCCAACCAAAAAAAAAAAAAATTAATTAAATTTGATACGTTTGATAATTAATATATATAATTCATACGGATTACTTACATTAATTATTAAATATAATAAAATTAAATTTATTCATAATTTATTATACAGTAAATATTCTGTTAAATAAATATTCTATTGAATTAGATTAAATTTTTTAAATAATTTATATAATATAGTAGAATATTATATTTTTATTTTAATGATAATGTAAAATTTTAAATAACTTATAAAAATTATTTACACCATAATCAAACTCAAAATAAAAAGGTATGGGTTTTGATTTGGTTATAGATGATTGTTTGGAAGAAAAAAAATATGTGATTCAATCCAATTTAAAGTGGTTTGTTTAAGAATGATTTTTTATTATTAGATTATAATTTGTTCATTCTTTATTAATATGTAAAGACGTAATAAAATAATAAACTAAATGCAAAACAAAATTTATAATATATTAAAATTAATATTATAGAATGACAATTATTGTTTGTATTTAAAAATATAAATTAGTAAAATAAATAACATTAAATTAAAAAAATGAAATAAATAAAATGCTATTGTTAAAATAAAATATTTATATTTGGGATTTAGATCGAAGGAATTCTAACCGGAGAAACTCAACTCGAATTTGGGTCTACCTACATGATTATGAAACCACATATTTAAAAAAATATATCATTGTTAGGCAAATTTGAAATTCGACAAATCTAAACTATCTTTGAAAAAAAAAACTTTCAATGAATTGAGGAAGCGTATCCCACCATTAAAATTTTTTGTAACCTCATGGTCATGGTTAGCAACCATATCTGCACATATGTTGTCTTCTCTGTAAATATGGATGTGTGTCTTATTGACTTGTAGTCTCTTATAATTAAATCATCTATTATGAAGATCCCAAGGGATAATGTCATTTTTCAAAGTACATTGCAGTATAATTTGGAAGTCTATTTCTATCCAAACATTTAAACAACCTCTCATGTTCGCCTCCTATAATGTTATCATAAGCGAAATAAGCTCTGCTCAAAGGACATTTTGAACCCCTTGGTTCACTGCAAAAGCGCCCCAGAACTCCCTATGGTCATCCCTTGCAATTCCCTTTCCCCCTGTTATTATACCTTTAATTGAACATCGATATTAAATTTAACCCACCCTATATTTGGCTTTCTCCAAAAGACTGCAATAATTTTGGGAGCCTTACGGTACATTTTCTCAATCTGCAGATTATCTAAAATGTCATGCTCTATCTGATGGTGGGTAATCCAACCTTTAGACAAAGAGAAGTTAATCCTCAAAGAGACCAAAATTTCCCCACTACTGCCTGCGCACAAGGATTATAATTATTGAACCTCCTTTCATTCCTTGCTAGCCAAATTTGATGAATTGTGTGAATCAGGGCAGACATAACATTGTCTTGGAGCTTTAGGTGCCTCCTTAGTCAGGTGATTCTTAAGATATCCTCTGAAGTTTTTGGTAAAGTAATGATCTGTAATTTCTCTATTATCCCCCCTAAAGTTTTCCAAAGTAAATTGACATTTAAAGAAGATATGGATTGTAATTTCCATTTTCATGTTACAAAGACCACACATAGAAGCCATACAACAACCCCTTTGCATCAGATTGTCATCGCCTGGGATTTTGTTATGAAGTGGTCTCTACATAATGAATGAAGCTGAATGAATGATGAATAACTGCCAAATTAACTTTTCCCACTCAATAGCATCATGATCTTCACCCATATATCTATGTGCGTCTTTTTTTCGTTAATATACTAGTGCTAGTTGTTGGACATATGACTTCACTTACAAGAGAAGTGGTGAATTGTGGTGTTTAGAAAAATGATAGTTTGAAAACACATTGCTATTATTTTCAAGGCATGTTTTCAATGTTTAAAATGTTGGGAAATAACAAATCATAGAGAAAAAAGAAGAACAAAATAACAACACAAAGATATAACGTGGAAACTCCAAAATCGAAGAAAAAACTACGATCTTTGTCAAATGACAACCAAAGAATAATAATATGTGAAAATTCTTACAACACATAATTTACTCTCAACCACCCCACGGCTCCCAATACACTCACACTCTCCAAAATAAATATTTAAATACATCTCACAACACTCTAACACAAGATCATAAGAGAAAAGAAAAAGTTAAATACAAACATAAAGTGTTATTGGCTAGTGAATTTTGAAAAGAAAAACTTTAATCCTATATATGAAAATGAACTCCCTCTTCCTTCATAAAAATAAGCAATGTGGGATTTCTTCAACATATATATTTTCAATCAACCCCAACAATCTCCTCATTGATTGAAAATAATACATTTACTTTCACTGTCTTCATCGACAATGATACTCAATCATAAAGAGTATAGTCACTTGAAGCTACACCACTCCAAGAATTTTCACATTGTCTTCACCGACAATCATAGTTTTAAAAACTATCATACTCCACCTAAAAAAGAGTATACTTCACTTGAAGTTAAACCACTTCAAAAATTTTCACATGTCGAAAACCAAGTTGAAACTTTATGGTGCAACTTCCATGTTGGTAGGAAGCTCTTCAATCATCGACATAATCTTGCACCTTGTGTAATCTTGATTGTATTAAAACATCTTTAACTTGAACTTTGCACAAGTAAAAAAATATTCTTCCATCAATTTTCTATAGCCCAAACTGCACAGCGAAATCTATGATTGCAGCTCAATAACTCTTTCACAACAATACCCTTTTTTTTTATGTGGAAGATCAGACAAAGATGCAACCACAGAGCATAATAAGAACATTTATTCCCATGTCGAACCAAAAATTCCGATACCAATTGTTGGAAAAAAATAAACTATAGAGAAAAAAGAAGAACAAAATAACAGTACAAGGATATAAAGTGGAAACTTCAAAATCTGAGAAAAACCACGATTGTTGTCAAATGACAACTAAAAAATAATACCATGTGAAAATTGTTACAACACATAATTTACTCTCAACCACCTCACGGCTCCCAATACGCCCACACTCTCCAAAGTAAATATTTAACTACATCTCACAACACTCTAACACAAGAGCATAAGAGAAAATAAAAAGTCAAATACAGACTTAAAGTGTTTTTTGCTAGTGTATTTTGAAAAGAAAAACTTGAATTCTATATATAGCATTGGATTCTCTCTTCCATCACTAAACTAAACAATGTGCAACCTAGAAAAACTTTAATCCTATATATAGCACTGGACTCCCTCTTCCTTCATAAAAATAAACAATGTGGGACTTCTACAATATGTATATTTTCAATCAACCCTAACATAAAAACATTTTGATAAAAACATTTTAGAAATAACAGCGGAAATTAAATATGTGGAAAATAAAGAGTTAAGGGTAAGTGAAATAACACCATAGAATTATACATGTTTGGCCAAGAAAACCTATGTTTGTCCCCAAGATTTTATCTTTAGAGTATCCAATAATGCTTAAGAGCTTTTAGTAGGTTAAACTAATGAACCCCTCTTATACAAGGAAAAATGAACTTTTAGGCGAACTTCTAACCAAACAAAGAACAGCAGACTAAAATGGTTAGTCTTCCTTCCAAACAAAAACTTGAAGCGGTTAGTCCCCAAACTAAACCGAGATTTTATACGGACTTATCTCAAACCAAAAAGAGATTTTGAATTGGCTATCCTCTAAACTAAACCGAGGTTTTACATGGGATGACCATACAAACCAAATTGAGATTTTACAACTGGATAATTCGAACCAAATTGTAGTTTTACACAGGATGACCACAAACCAAGTTAAAATTTTACACTAGACCCATCTCGAACCGAAGTAAGGTTTTACACGGGCAGAGCTTACAAATTGAACTGGCTAACTAAATCCTCAGACAAAGCTTTTAACAGGTTTAGCTTTGAACCCAAACAAACACTCCCTTAATGAAAAATTATTCAACCGAGAGAAAAAAACACTCCTTGGTGAATTTACAATAACACCATTTTCAAGAATACAAAATCTCACTCAAACATAATGATTTTCTTGAAGCGCAATGGCTAAAATATAGTGAGAGAGGTAAAAAAATATTTTTAGAAAGAGAGTCAGGAGTGAGATAGAGAACTCAAATGTTCTAGATGTAAAAATGTGAAGGAATAGGCCATTATTTATATGATAGAGGTTGGCAAAAGAAAGGAAAGATCCACGTGCCAAAATAAATGTTTCAATTGATTGGGACCATAAGTCAATCGATTGGAGCCCTTAATAATTGTTTGTAAATGCTAAAAATTGAAAGATTGGATACATAGTTGTTTCCCTTTATTAAGACACGGTCACAATCATTTATGGACAACATTTACTCTCCAAAATGCTTTTGGGTTATTTTCTTTAAGAAATAGAGGATTTAAAAAAAATTGTGTGTGTGAGAGAGAGATTTAGCCATACTACTTTAAGAGAATTCCCTTGTGTTTTCAAAACATGATTCACTCATACACGACTAAACAAGCTTTCACACTTTCTCTCTTTCACACTTTGAAGCTTCAAGACTTGTAAAATATGACAATCATATAAGAATTTGCTTGAGTCTTCTTGGAGACTAGGCTTGATATCTTCAAGTTAAATGTCATCATTATAGGGTGTTTGTATTGTTCCTCAAACCCTGATTTGTATGCTTCCGTCATTGTCTGTTTGTCACACTTGCTTGACTTTATACTCTAAATTTTATCAAAGTTTGCATCTTAACAA